TTGAGGGCTGCGGGGGGGGGGTGTTGAGCAGCACAGTGTCGCCATATTCAGATTCAGGTTAGACCTCGCCATCCCTGAGGGGCTGCGATCTGCGACACTGTCGCCACATTGGAGGGCTGCTGGGGGGGGGCAGCACAGTGTCGCCATACCCAGATTCAGATTGGACCTCGCCATCCCTGGGGGGGGAGGGCTGCAATCTGTGACACAGTAGCCACTTTCGAGGGCTGCTGGGGGGGTGGGGGGTGGGCAGCACGGCGTGGCCATATTCAGATTCAGGTTGGACCTCGCCATCCCGGAGGGGCCGCGATCTGCGAAGCTGTCCCCACTGTGGAGGGCTGCTGGGGGGGGCAGCACGGTGTCGCCATACCCAGATTCAGATTGGACGTCGCCATCCCTGGGCGGGGGTGGGGGGGGACTGCAGCCTGCGAAACTGTAGCCACTCTCGAGGGCTGCTGGGGGGGGGGTGTTGGGCAGCACAGTGTCGCCATATTCAGATTCAGGTCAGACCTCGCCATGTGAGCCCGTTTCTTCATTCCTTGGGGCATGACGGGCGTCATCGCCCCCGCTCCCCCCCTATGACGTAACGCTCCCCCCCCAGTGCGCTCCGGACACTGCCGCCGTGCGCATTGGGATCCGCGTAGGTGTCCGCGTAGGAATTCGCATAGGAGTCTGATCCGCAGTCGTCGTCGTTGTAGTCGTCGTCGTCGTCGTCGTCGTCGTCGTCGTCGTCGCTCGTTGCTTGTCGCTCGTCGTTCATAGTCGTCGTGCGCGCGGACGCGGCTGAAGCCTGTTTTTTTTTCCAGGCCGATGACGGCAATCATCTAGGGGGGGGGGTGCAGGGGGTCGATGACGTCACGTTTCGCGCCAGCGGCGTCTGGGAATGCCTAGGAATGACGGAGGACGAGTAGCGCCAGCTTGTAGGTGGCGATTTGCACCACAACGCCTATGTACACCACAGTGCCTGCGTGCGCCACAGCGCCTGTATACACCACACCGCCTATGTACACCACAGCAGCCGCCTGCAGCACAGCGTTAGTTTGTGCCACCGTGCCTGCGGGCACAAGAGCTCTTGTGCACACCACAGCGCCTGCGTACACCACACCAGGCGTGTGCAACACAGCACCAGTGTACACCACAATGCCTGCGTGCATTGCAGTGCTTGTGTACGCCACGGCGCTTGTGTGCACCACAGCAACCGTGTGCAACACAGCGCCACTGTTGTATATAGAATGTTGGAACAAATCCTTATGACAAAATGGAGCGCCAGAAAACAATAGAAACTAATCTTTCTGAACAACGGAGCGCCGCTGGAATTTACGAGTCCTCCCGAGTCCGCCCGCATCACCCTAACTCCTCCCATTTGCGTCCAGGAGGCTCCAGCTAAATTGGCCATCCGAGAACCAAGTGGACCGATTCGATCGACCATTCTGCGGTGCGCGCTGAGATGCGCACGTGCGCTGTAGCGCCAACCCGCACGACAGGGGGTAAGGAGGAGGAGGAGTAGGAGGAGGAAAAGGAGGAGGAAGAGGAGGAGGAGGAGGAGGTGGTGGAGGTGGAGTAGGAGGGAGGAGGGAAGAACGTCGCATTCGATTATCAGCACTTTCCTGGCGTGGCGTCTAGTTGTCCGCAGCAGATCCTCACGTACATGCTCTTTCTACTTGTCCTATGCACGCAGGCAGTGTGGTGTACACCAGCGCTGCGTTGCACGCGGATGCTGTGGTGTTGACGCGCGCTGTGGCGTGCACAGGCGCTGCGGTGTACGCAAGCATTGTGGTGTACACAGGCTCTGTGTTGCACATGGTAGCTGCGGTCTACACATGTACACTGGCGCTGTAGTGTACGCAAGCATTGTGGTGTACACAGGCGCTGCGTTGAACACGGTTGTTGCGGTGTACGCAGGCGGTGTGGTATACACGCGCGCTTTGGTGCACGCGAGCGTTGTGGTGTACACAGGCGCAGTGGGGCATATCGCCACCTACATGCTGCTCGCGTCGTCGTCGTCGTCGTCGTCGTCGTCGTCGTCGTCGTCGTCGTCGTCGCTCGTCGCTCGTCGCTCGTCGCGTCGCGCGCGTGGGCGCGGCTGCTGTGCCGGAGCCACACAGCGGGGGGGGCGTTACGTCATACCCCCCTTCTCGCCCCCCCCCATGACGCCCGTCATCCTAATGGGCGGCGATCTGCGATCTGCGACACCGTCGCCACATTGGAGGGCTGCTTAGGGGGGCAGCCCAGTGTCGGCATACCCAGATTCAGATTGGACCTCGCCATCCGTGGGGAGGGGGGCTGTAGCCAGCGAGACTGTAGCCACTTTCGACGGCTGCGCAGGAGGGGGGGGTGTTGGGCAGCACAGTGTCGCCATATTCAAATTCAGGTTAGACCTTGCCATCACTGAGGGGCTGCGACCTGCGACACCGTCGCCACTTCGGAGGGCTGCTGGGGGGGGGCAGCACAGTGTCGCCATCCCCATATTCAGATTGGACCTCGCCATCCCTGGGGGGGAAGGGCTGCAGCCTGCGAAGCTGTCGCCACTTTGGAGGGCTGCTGGGGGGGTGTTGGGCAGCACAGTGGCGCCATATTAGGTTAGACCTCGCCATCCCTGAGGGGCTGCGATCTGCGACACTGTCGCTACATTGGAGGGCTGCTGGGGGGGGGCAGCACAGTGTCGCCATACCCAGATTCAGGTTCGACCTCGCCATCCTTGAGGGGCTGCGATCTGCGACACCGTCGCCACTGGAGGGCTGCTGGGGGGGGGGGGGCAGCACAGTGTCGCCATACCCAGATTCAGGTTAGACCTCGCCATCCCTGGGGTGGGGCTGCAGCCTGCGAAGCAATAGCCACTTTCGAGGGCTGCTGGGGGGGTGTTGGGCAGCACAGTATCGCCATATTCATATTCAGGTCAGACCTCGCCATCCCTGAGGGGCTGCGATCTGCGACACTGTCGCCACATTGGAGGGCTGCCGGGGGGGGCAGCACAGTGTCGCCATCCCCATGTTCAGATTGGACCTCGCCATCCCGGGGGGGGGCGGCTGCATCCTGCGAAGTTGTAGCCACTTTCGAGGGCTGCTGGGGGGGTGTTGGGCAGCACGGTGTCGCCATATTCAGATTCAGGTTAGACCTCGCCATCCCTAAGGGGCTGCGATCTGCGACACCGTCGCCACTTTGGAGGGTTGCTGGGGGGGGCAGCACAGTGTCGCCATACCCATATTCAGATTGGACCTCGCCATCCCTGGGCGGGGGCTGCAGCCTGCGAAACTGTAGCCACTCTTGAGGGCTGCTGCGGGGGGCAGCACGGTGTCGCCATGCCCAGATTCAGGTTGGACCTCGCCATCCCTCGGGGGGGCTGCAGCCTGCGAAACTGTAGCCACTTTGGAGGGCTGCTGGGGGGGGGGCTGCATGGTGGGGCCATATCCGAACTCCAGATTCGACCTCGCCATCCCTGGGGAGGGTGAGGGGTCGGGCTGGGATCTGCGCCGCTGCCGCCACTTTCGAGAACAGCTGGGGGGTGCAGCACAGTGTGGCCCTGCCCAAATTCAGACTAGACCTCGTCATTCCTTGGTGGCTGCGATCTGCGAAACTGCCGCCGGTTTCGAGGGCTGCTGGGTCGGTTGGTGGGGGGCAGGCAGCGTCGCGGGGGTCTTACGCAGATTCAGTGTCGACCTCGCCATCCCTGGAGGGCTGCGGTCTGCGAAACTGTAGCCACTTTCGAGGGCAGACTAAGATTCGACCTCGCCATCCCTGGGGGGGGCTGCCAGCTGCGAAGCGGTCGCAGATTTCGAGGGCTGCTGGGGGAGGGGCAGCAAAGCGGGGTCCTGCCCAGATTCAGATTGGAGCTCGCCATCCCTGGGGGGGCTGCGATCTGCGAAGCTGTCGCCATTTTCGGGGCTGCCTGCGGGGGGGCCGCACAGTGAGGCCCTACCCAAATTCAGACCAAACCTCGTCATCGCTGGGGGGCTGCGATCAGAGGGCTGCTGGCTGGACCAGCTTAGCGCGGCGCTGCGCAGATCAGAGCGGGACCTCGCCATCTCTGGGGGGCTGCGAAGTACGAATTTGTCGCCGCTTTCGAGGGCTGCTGAGGGCTCCAGCGGAGTGACGTCTTACGCAGATTCAGGGTTGACCTCGCCATCCCGGGGGGGCTGCGATCTGTCAATTTGTCGCCACTTTGGATGGCTGCTGGGGGGGCCCATCAAGTGTGGCGGGGCGCCTTACGCAGACCCAAACTAGACCTCGCCATCCCTGAATCCCTGCTGGGTCTGTGATCTGCTAAGCTGTCGCGACTTTCGAAGGCCGATTTCTGGCATACCTCGAAACATTATTTCTCTTCTTCCTCTGGCTGACTTTTTTCGTTACTCTCGTGCTGCTACCATGTCTTGCTGCTGCCCCGCCTACGTGTCAAACTCCCTGTGCGCCTCCTCTTCTTAGTCCTCGGCCTTCTTTCCTTTCGACCCAGGGAATTAATGAACAACCTCCATCAAGCCCTTGTCCATTGGTTGGTATCCTGCGAGTCGCGCGCCCCGCGAGCCTCCCAGACGCCGTTTCCAGAAGAAATGCTTCCCTGCCACGTTATCACCCCCTATAAAGTCTACCCCGCTAGTCTGGCCATGCGTTGTGCAAGGGTTGGGTACATCGTCTGGGTAATTTCAATCTGGGTTCTAATGGAATTCCGATCCTGTCCGTGGGACCTGTTTCTCGACGGTCGCGGGGCCTGGTCAAGACCCCCAGAGGCCGACAACGGTGAAACGCCTCGCATCTTTTTCGGTGCTTTTTTTCACGACGCGAGCATGTCTGGTGCCTCGCCTTCGTCTTTTTGGGGCCTCCTGGGAGACCCTGGCCTCCACCGCTGGATCCGCGTCGCGATTCTGCTCAGGGCGCACCCCAGGAGAGGTCAGGGTTTCCCCAAGCGGCCCCGAAACTACCACCCGCGGGCCCATAAGGTGCACGAGAGGTGTGTCTTCACCCTACGCGTATTGCTCCCCCCCCACACACCGTTGGCGAACACCCGAGAGGACAAGAATATCCCTCCCATCCCGTTCGATTCGCTCAGGGTCGGCCAGGAGTTCTGGGGGACCGTGAACTCCTTGCGGCGCCACGGCGCCTACGTGGACATCGGGGCCGAGAGAGAGGGGCTGCTGCACATCTCCGCCATCTCCAAGGACTATATCGAGAAGACCTCGTCGGTGTCGGTGCTCAAGGATTGGCGGCGCGCCCGGGGGGGGGGGGGGCGTGAGGGAGGGCAGGCCTCGTCAGTAGGCGGCGGGGCTTCTCGGAAGCCCTCGCGCATACTGACAGGCCGTCCTGTGCCTTCGGAGAGGGCTCGGAGAGCTTCTCGGCCTTGTGAGCCCTCTGGGAAGCTCCGCCCCCTCTGCCTTCCCTCCGGGGCGCGCCGCCAAGAGGGTGACAAGATGGTCAAGGTCTGGATCAGCGACCTGAGCGACGACGGGAAGTTCGGCCTGACCATGATCAAGGGCTATAAGAGACCCGAGAGGGTCGAGCGCGAGTCCCCGAAGAGTCTCCGAAAAGTCGCCCCTTTCTCCCGCGCGTCCCCAGACGAGTGGTTCGAGGGCAGGGTCCTGAGACTTCTGCCCTTCGGTGTGTTCATCCTGCTGAAGGCGGAGGATGGGACCGAGGCGGCTGGCCTGTGCCACGTGTCCCAGGTAGCCCGTGCTGTCTCGGTGGGCCAGAAGGTGAAGGTGCGCGTGCTCGGCGTGGACGTGGGCGCGGAGAAGATGAGCCTGAGCATGCTGAAGAGCGGCGGCTTCGAGTCGGTCAGCCCGGACAAGTGGCTCACCGGCAAGGTGGTCAGGTGCGAGACGTTTGGAGCCTTCGTGGAAGTGACGGCGCCAAACGGCGCCACGGCGGACGGCCTGGTGCACATATCGCAGATCAAGGACGACTTCGTGCGGAACGTGAAGAAGGAGTTCGAGCCCGGCCAGGAGGTGAAGGTGCGCGTGATCAACGTCGACGTCGTCGCGGGCAAGATGATCCTCTCGATGAAACCGCCGGAGAGCTCCGACTAGGAGTGAGGCAGTGCCGGTTAGACCTCGTCCTGTTGCTGGGAGAAAAGAATAGGGGAACAACAAGTGACATAAACATAAACTCGGAGGTCCGCGCGGATTTCTCGGATCCGCGCTGGACCCCCCTCCCTGGCGCGCGGAGCGCGCCAGTGGCGGCGCCGGAGGCGCCGCCAGGGGGGTCCAGCGCTGTTCCGAGAAATCCGCGCAGACCTCCGAGTTTGTATGTTTATGCTTTTGTGTTCCCTTAAAGAAGCATACACACAAGCTTTCGGAGCTCCGCGCGGATCTCTCTTGGATCGGCGCTGGGCCCCCCCCCCCCTGGCGGCGCACCCCCTGCGCGCTCCGCGCGCCAGGGAGGGGAGCCCTGCGCGGGTCCGAGGAGAGCTTGCGCGGCGTGCCGCGAGCTGATGCTTTGACGCCGTGTTTTCCTCCTCGGTTTTCCTGTGGCCGCCCCGGGGAAAAGCCGCCCAGGGTCCAGGGAGGAAACGCCACCCCGACCCCGACAGGTGGCCTTTCCTAAACGGCCCTGGGCGTTTACTGAACAGTCCTGCCCTGTTCGATTCCCACAGTCGGGCCGAGGTATAAGATCGAGGTCGGCTCGGGGAGGGTACCCTGATGTTCTTCGTGCTCTTGAGGGATGCTGTTGTGCATCCTGGGGAGGGTGCCCCTGGATGTTCTGTGTGCTTGGGCCGGCGCAGGGTCTCGTGTTCTTGAAGGACGTTACTCAGGAGGGAAAGAAACACAGACACATTGAATCGTCGATTCCATGGAAAATATGGGAAAATATGGGAAGTGGGGGGGAAGACAAAAACCCAGAAAATATAGGAAATATGGGGATTTTGTTTATTTGTGTGTATTTATTTGTGTGTCCCAGGGCCCCTTCAGTTACTCTGCCCTTGGTCCGACTGCGCTATGGGGGTTGATCTTCTGCTCTCTGCAGGGGTGCGGTAGGTTTGCGTCGTGTCGACCAGCGGCGACCCTGCTGCAAGCGTTCAGCGTTGAACGCCGCCGCTGACCCAGACGCGGTCGATGTCGAACGATCTGACGTTTCGGAAAGCGCCGATCCGTTCATCTGCACGAGCGAAATGGGCACGGAAAGAATGGGTACAATGCCCGACAGCGGATCCTGTTCATTTTGAACAGGACTCGCTGTCCACGCCGCCGCGGTCTGTGTCCATTCTCGACAGAAGGCCGCCTGCCCAACATCGGCCGCTGTTGGTTTGGGACAACATTTGTTGTTGGGCATTGTACCTATTCTTTCCGTACCCATTTCGGGCGTCCAAAGTAGGGAATTGGCTTGCGACGCGTCCCCGGGCCACCTCGGGTCATGAAAAGATCACGACGGGAAGTTTGTCGCTACTTTCGGCCAAGAGCAACGGCATGAACATGAGCCTGTGGCGCTCCGCGGAGATTTCTTGGATCCGCGCTGGGCCCCCCCCGGCGGCGCGTCCGGCGCCGCCCCTGGCGCGCTCCGGGAGGGTGGGGGGGAGGT